TTCCATATTCTTTCCATATGCACGTCAACACTTGCGCCATCGGATTTTGGCGGCCGAACGTAACACACACGTCCACTTGTTATGTTAATGGGTCGATTTTTGTGTCTGTGAAAGTGAAACGCCACGAGAGCATCATGTACGCAACGCACCCATGTGCATAAGGAAAAACGCCTTTATTTCTTTTACTAAGATCCACATATAATGGAGCCCGTAAAAATAGCTGTTTTTAACAGAATATAATTATTTAATTGTTGTTATGACAGAAGGTACAGTATGATCGTTCATTTTCATCATTTCAACTGTTATGGCAATCATTGTTTTTTGGGGGGGAGCAGGTCCAGTATAAAGTTTTCACATGCTTAAAGTACATCGATACTTTGAAATACAGGAAAAATGGCAGCGGGGCCGGAAAACGTGGACGAAGTAAATACATCTGATGCAACAGACTTTTTTCGCCGCTTACTGGACCATTACCTGGGTCATCAACGTGAACAAATTGACTGGGGCGGTTTCATATCAAAGATTGAAAGGATATCCAAGACGCACAACACCATGTACACTTCGCTTGTCCCCTCACCAGATTACAGCAATAATGACAACCAGTGCGCGTACATGTACCTGTATTTCATGCAGAGCTGTTTTACGACCTACAAGACTCTTCTGGCCTTCCTACCAGAATTAAAAGCCAAGGTTAAATCGCAAGATAAGCTGAACGTTTGTTGCCTTGGTGGTGGACCTGGCACGGACTTGGTAGCGCTCATCAGGTTCCTCCAAGATCACCAATTATATCCCGCCAAGTTAAACTGCACAGTGCTAGACCTATATGACGAGTGGGAGGACACATGGACATCTATGCAGGAAATCTTAGACTTGGAACCAGAGACACTCTCTGTAGAGTACAGGCGTTGCGACTTCCTTGAGGAATCCAGCCTTGAGGTAGGAGAACTTCAGGCAATCCAGCGATCAGATATCGTCACTTTCATTACCTCCTTCTCTCCACTTTTTTACCGCCTGCAACAAGCACCGGAAAAGAAACTGCGACTTCAGGAAATTTGTAACCAGTTCAAGGATCAGGCGTTGATGCTGTACATTGACATTTTCAACAGTTTTCTTGTCCACCGTGAATTCACCCACTCTGTTTCAGATCCTGCTGGCCTTACTGTTATTGCAGACAATGTAGCCGTGGATGAAGAAATTGATTTTGAACTGTATCAGCAGTATGAAAACCTTTATTTCTTCTACAACCAGTGCAAAGACAACTTTAAACCAATGTCACGTTCCAGTGTACACGCTCTCCTTCTGTGCAAAGACATCGAGAGAAATTAAAACAGTCTAGTGCAACGGTAATAAAGCAAGTAACAGAAAACATACATTCAGTTTAATATTTACATGTTCAAGTCGACGGGGAAATATTTTTGACAGTCTTTGGTTAAGTTTAATGGTTGAAGTGTTGTCCGTTTTCACAATTGTTCGTAAATATCAAATTCACTTTGCATGAAAATCAATTTCGCTTGCATACGCGCAAGATACTAAATTAACTAAACACACAGCATTGACGTTGTAATCTTTCAATGTCTGACCCATTCATTTGGATTTTTGAGAAGTAGAAGTTTTAAGTGCCATTCAACTCAAACTTGCCAAAATGGCACTGTAATATCTCTTTCTGAAAAAAACAATAACCGTTCAATAATAACGCATTGTTTAGAAATGCTCACGTGTTTGTGTTCGTGTTTGACGGATCGCATTGCTGTTTTTGAAGGAATTTCTGAAGTCCCTATACACTGTACAAGGAAGCCAGTCCGCTTTTCAGAGGGGCCGGGTTGAGGGAGAGGCAAAAGCTTCCTGGAGGGGGGGAAGCAAGAGCCAGGTGGACAAGAGTTCCCACATAGGGGCAGTCCCCCTGCCCTCTTATCCTTTGGCTGAAAGAAGTGATATAAATTGCAGAAGAAACAATTATTTTTCTTTTCTTCAAAGTTCTCCTCATTGCCAACGGTTTTATTTCATTCCGATCTTTCCTCTTCATATCCCACAGAATACAAGGTTTTGGATTTCAAAATGTGGCTCCTGGTTCGAAAGTCACAGAAATCAACAGTAATCCCCTTACAACCGCGACAGCCTTTGACAAAAGGATCTGTTTTACACGTTTCAATCATAAGCAGGTGGTATTTTTCTTTCATATAAAAACACTGTCGGTGTGTAATAATTTGGGGGTTAATATAGAAATAGACTGTTGAAATCATTCACATTTAACTTTCTGGGTTTTCTTCGATAAACAAATGTAAATGTTAATTTAGATATTTGTCACAGTTTTGCACGGTCACTATGATCTATAATACGTCAATATAGTTCATATTTTCAATTAAACCATAATTTCGTAATTTGTAGAATGGCTCGTTGCTTCAGCCTAATATTGCATTGTAAAATTGCATCGCCAGTTAATAGTGAATATGTCACTAGTTATGTTTATAAATATAACTATTTCAGTGATATTTGACAGATAGGTTTGGCAGGGTGACAATAGTGTATTAGATTTTGTGATAATTGTTGTTTCCATGAAAAGACCCCAATGTAATTGCAGTCTTACGCACCATTGTGCTAAAATAAATAACGGATATTGATCTACAGTGTCATCTGATCAAATAAGAGAACCTATTCACATTCAACCTATGGTTTTCGAAGTTCTAATTCCAAAAGAAACATTTCCCAGGGTGAAGTAAATGTGTAACTGTTGTGTGGGCAAGAAAAGGCATTGGCTTTTAGTAAATAATCAAAATCCTTTTTCCTGTCATTGTTAATTACATTTTCAGAAAGTGAACAATGACAGCTGGAAGTGAACATGAAAGTAACAAACAATTGATTATGCTTAATGATGTGTTTTGAAGATGCCAAGGTACTTTCCGTTTTGAAACGATCCACCTGGTTTTTCTCTCAATTTTCTTATGAAAATGAAGAGTTCTTAAAGTGTTTATGTTTCATTGAAATTTTCAAATTTTGTTCTGAAAGCAAGTGATACAACTACAAAAATTCAACCGACAAAGATCATAAATACGCAACTTTTTCGCAACTTTCGGACCACACTGAGAATAGAGTGAGAATATAAACAGACTTTACATACCCTATGAAAAATGAAAAATTAATATCCACGAAAACAATTGCTAATCAAAGGAGGAAATTAGGTTACCAACCAAACAAAATGAATGCAGTTTTCTTTGGGTAGCTAATTCAATTCTTGAGAGGTAATAATATTTCACAAATAATTGTGTTCAAAGTCCGATGAGATTAAAGGATCCAATATCTTTGTGTGAAATCTGAAATGAAGAAATCAAAAGATGAAGGCAGAGATATTTTAGTTGCTAATGCATATCTTGGATCCTATTCAGAAATTCTTGGTTCAAGTCTGAAGAGGCTGCACTAGAAGTTTTTGTTTTTATCGTCGTAACTAATTAAATGTGGTAGAGGTTAGGAGAACAAGCAAGAACTTCTGCTATATATTTGTGGTATTTACATTGAGTCTATTCTGCTGCTGTACTTTCATTGAATTGGTTGTTTTCTGTCTGATTTTTAAAATGCATATTATGTACATATACGTAACTATATATCTCAATTTGTAGATAAAAAGATGGCAAAAAATAGGCATTTAAATACAATCCCATTCACATTTAACTTTTGTTTTTTATATGGAAAAATGCAAATGTTACAATATAGGTCAGATTTTTTGCAAAAACAGAGCGGTCTAGAATAGGGCATTGTTGATTAGATTTGTAGTTGAGCTTTTTTGCCGTGTTTTACGCCATGGCTGGCTTCGCTTCACAAAAATTGTGAAAGTTGACACTGGCAGTCAGTATGTTACGAGTTCTTTGTTTACAAATGTAGCTATTTTATTAAAAGGGCCACGAGTCATCTCTCGGAGGACTACATTACTTTGCTGACCAGCCAATTATTCCTAAGTAATAGTCGGAATGTACGATTTCTATTTCCTTTTTAAAAAACCATTAAAGGGTCAGCATTGACAATAGGGTCCTTTTAAGATACTGATTTGCATGTTCAGTGGTGTTTCGATAGG